AACTGTGGTTTTTTAGAATAAGATGTTCTTAATTATAACTTGCTTTCATCAGATCTGGCCTGATTATATTATGAATGGATGATTTAAAGATTGATTTTTCTCAGATAGATCCACAGTCACATATTTTAATTATTATTTATTGTGTAAGAACTTGGAAGATTTAAGCAAGCGAAGAACAGTGTCTGCGTATCAGTAATAGTATGTATAATAACTCTTGATGGTTCTCACATTGCTGACTATGAAAACGTCCTTCTATCAACATTGCAAAGCAGTGGGAACTGGGTTTGATTGTACTCATGATATATTTTAATCTTAAAATTAAAAAATGCATAGAGCTTCTTGCATGAGAATTAAAATACATTGTACCTATTAACATTAAATCTTTTGTGGGTCTCTGTCCTGCCTTTTTTGTTTTGTTTTATTTGTTTCTCAAGTCCATTGCACATCTGGCTTCACTAAGCTCTTCTAAAGTAGAAGAGTGAAGAAAATACCCTCCCATCCTGCTCCACCTTGTCAGTGCCAGAAGATAAAATCCAGTTCCTTCAGTTGGCACTATCAGGATCTGGTCCCCATTTACATCCTCAAACTTGGAATCCTAGTACTATTCTTCACACTCTCTGCTCCAAAGTGGGCTACTGTTGGACATAAGCACAACATTATACCATGAACTTCTTCTCAACATGGCGGTCCCTTCTGGTTCCCTACTTGGGAATACACCAGCATCTCCATCTTGACCTTGTTAATTCTAATTAAACCTTTCTTTTACATCAAAGATCAAATTATAATTTCCTTCAGACATGAGTACTCAGTTTTTTCTCTGTAAGTATATAAAAGAATAACTGTTTATCTCCAACTTTTAAAAATATGGCAATTTTTTTCCCTAAGAAATGATTATTTAACTTAGCCATTGACATGTTCTCATCTAAAACAAATTGTAGTAGGCATGATACAGGTAGAGACATAATGGACGTGTTCCAAAGTAGCCAAAGATTGTTGTCTTACATTGAATTGACAACAAAATGAATATATCAGAGATACCACTTACAAAATTTAATTAAAATGTTTTGCTTGTCAGTTCAATAGAAATAAAGACCAAGTGAAATTTTGATAAGAGCAATATTTCATCATATAAAAATAGTGAAAAAATGACTTATGCTCATTCACTCTTTTTCTTTCATTCTTCTGTAGAGTTTCAGTATCAAATATTTGGGAGTCTATCATATTTTATAGTACGTAGCTCTTTTTAGGGGTCAACAGATCCTGATTTTATCCTATTATGAGTGTTAAAAAATCATCAAATTATTTAGATTTTTTTCTGAACACACCATAAATTGTCTCTATTTTCAAGCTGTGACAGATAACCAGAAATCCAAAAAAGGCTGCCTTTTCAGAGAAAGACATCACCTGCCTAAAGAAATTTAGTCCATACTTTCTATAGTGAACTTAGAATGAGAGGGTGACTAGCTTTCAGGAGAGGATACTGTTTAGAAGAAAGAATTTGAAAGAAAGGATAAAATAGTTTTCCAGCATTTTTTTCCTTGTCTTGTCTTTAGAGGGTAAATTAACAGTCACGCTGCTTTAAGAAACTGTGATAACCCAGGACTTCAGTAATACATTTTGATATGTAATAGTGTACCAGAAGACACATTACAAATCTGAAATAAAATGTTTTCTCATTTTGCTTTGTTTTGCTTAGTTTGTGCACTCCACTATTTCTGTTCATTTGTTGTTAATAAAAATGTTATCAGGAAACATTTGTTGGACACCAGTGGTTTTCCAGACGGAATGTGGTATTTGCAGGCATACAAAGAACAGGGCAATCTGGAGCTGCATTCTAAGTGTGCCCGTCACCCAACGAGTGTTCATTGTACCTGTTAGGTAGGTTTTCACACATCCCCTCCTCCTCCTATCTCCCTGCTTGATTTCCACTGAGTTTCACTTCCCTCTATGCACATGTGTGCTCATCAGTTAGTTCAAATCTAATAGCAAGTATATGTGGTGCTTGTTTTTCCATTCTTGAGATACTTCACTTAGCAGAAAGTGTCCAGTTCCATCCAAATTGTTGTCAAATTTATCAATTCATCTTTTTTATGGCTGAGTAGTACTCCATGATATACATATAACACATTTTGTTAATCCACTAATGAATTGATTGGCACTTGTGCCGATTCCACATTTTTGCAGTTGTGAATTGTGCTGCTATAAACATTCAAGTGCAGGTGTCTTTGGAATAAAATGACTTCCTGTGAGTAGATACACAATAGCAGGATTGCTGGATTGAATGGTAGGTCTACTTTAAGTTCTTTGAGGAATCTCCATACTATTTTCCATAGTAGTTATACTAATTTGAAGTCCCATAAACAGTGTATATACATTGCTCTCTTTCTGCATCCACATCAGCATCTATTTTTTTGGACTTTCTGATAAAAGCCATTCTAACAGAAGTAATGTGATACCTCATTGTGGTCGTATTAATAATTTGCATTTTCCTAATTATGAGTGATGTTGAGTATTTTTCATATGTTTAATGGCTATTTTTCCATCTTCTTTTGAAACGTTTCTGTTCATGGATTTGCCCATGTTTTAGTGGGGTTGTTTTATCCTTGCTGATTTGATTCAGTTATTTGTAGATTCTGGATGTTAGCCCTTTTTCAGATATATAGTTTGTGAATAATTTCACCCATTCTGTAGGTTGTCTATTTGATCTGTTGATTATTTCCTTAGCTGTGTGGAAGCTTTTTAATTTAATCAGGTCCCATTTACTTGTTTTTGTTGTTGTTGTAATTGCCATTGAGTTCTTCTTCATAAATTCTTTATGCTAATATATAGAAGAGGTTTTTTTTTTAACATTTTATTCTAGAATTCTTATGGTTTCATGCCTTACATTTAACTCTTTTATCCATCTTGAATTAATTTTTGTGAGTGGTGAGAAATATGGATCATATTTCATTCTCCTACATGTGGCTATCCAATTTTCCCAGCACCGTTTATTGAGTGGGGCTTCTTTTCCCTAGTGTATATTGTTGTCTGCTTTGTTAAAGATGAGTTGGCTGCATGCAGATGATCTGGGTTCTCTGTTCTGTTCCATTGGTTTATATCTCTATTTTTGTGCCAATATCATACTGTTTTGACAAAATCCAGCACCCTTTTGTGATAAAAACCCTCAATAAACTAGGCATAGAAGGAACATACCTTAAAATTACAAAAGCCATGTATGACAAACCCACCCAACATCATAGTGAATGGTGAAAAATTGAAAGCATTCCCCCTAAGAACTGGAACAAGACAAGGGTGTCCCCATCACCACTTCTATTCATTGTAGCACTGGAAGTCATATCCAGAACAATCAGACAAAAGAAAGAAAGAAAGGGTATCCAAATCTGGAAAAGAGGAGGTCAAATTATTGCTTTTCATTGACATTATGATGTTACATCTAGAAAAGCCCAAAGACTTCACGAAAAGACTTCTGGAATTGATAAGTAAATTCAGCAGTCTGAGGTTACAAAATCAATGTACACAAATCAGTAGCATTTGTATTCACCAATAACAGTCAAGCTGAGAGTCAGATCAAAGACTCAATATCATTTACAATAGCTACAAAGAAAATAAAATACCTAGGAATATACTTAACCAAGGAGGTGAAATAGCTCTACAAAGAGAACTGTAAAACACTGAGTAAAGAAATCACAGATGACAGAAACAAATCGAAAAGCATATTGCACTCATGGATCAGTAGCATTAACATTGTTAAAATGTGCATACTACCCAAAGGGATTCATAGATTCAGTGCAATTCCCATCAAAATACCAAAGTCATATTTCACAGATCTAGAAAAAAAATTCTATGCTTCATTTAGAACCAGAAAAGAGCCTGAATAGCCAAAGCAATTTTAAGTAAAAAGGACAAATCTGGAGGCATCATATTACCAGACTTCAAACTATACTACAGTACTATAGTTATCATTTGCATATATTGGTGTCAAGTCTTCTCTTCTAGTTACTTTGAAATATATAAAATATTGTTGCTAAAGCAGTCAGTCTATTCTTCTATCAAATATTAGAACTTATTTATTCTATCTAACTGTGTGTTTGTATCCATTGACCAACTTCTCTTCATTCCCCAACTCCCACCCACCTTTTCAGTCTCTGGTATCTACCATTCTATTCTCTGTGTCCATGAGAGCATGTTTTCGTGGCTCTCACATATGAAAACATGTGTTGATTGTCTTTCTGTGCCTGGTTTATTTCACTTAACATGAAATCATTATTTCTTTTTGTGTTCAAAATCTTACTGGTTTTCACTGTTGTCCAAAATTAGAAATGAATTAATATAATTTGCTGAATGTTTTATATTTCATGTTATTTAGCATCATACATAATAATAGTATATCAAAAGTAAGTCCCTTTAGTCATCCTAACTTTAGATACCCTTGAATGAGATTAGGAAGTGATCATCATTTACATTTATTATACTTTGCATGTAACAAGCTTTAGCTATTAACTCTAATTTGCTTCTCATCATATTCATCAAAGGTGAACTATTTAGAAACTAAAACATCTCTGTCAGTTAGAATTTTAATGAATTAAAATAAAATGAGACAGTGTTAATTGGCAGTTGTTGCTACAGGGGAGGTTTCTAGATCTTTTAAGTGATACCAATTCATCTTTTTATCAGGGTTAATTTGTTTGATTTAATTCTAAGGATATACTGAATATTTTCCCCAAACTATTATATTTATTTTCAAAATAGAAGAGTGGTTTATTCTATTGTTCTTTCATCTGGATTCTCAATTTCACTAGAAACTGATTAAAATTTGATTGTTAATAAGTTATTGGTCTTAATCACCATTTGTATTACTGACTAAACACACACACATACATACACATGTACACAAAAAAATAGCATTACTTGGAGATTTTATTTTAAGATTCCTAAAATATTCCAATATCTAGTCACTTTTAACAGTAATTCTCTTTCTCTGTCTTTTCTGTTTTCTTCAGACATAAATGAATGTGAAGCTGATCCTTGTAAAAATGGTGGAATATGTACAGACCTTGTTGCTAACTATTCCTGTGAGTGCCCAGGTGAATTTATGGGAAGAAATTGTCAATATAGTAAGTATTTACGTGTGTGTGTATATATGGGTGTGTGTCTCTCTGTTGGTATATATACAAAAAAACATAATTTTATTTATATGGTCTCTATTTATTATGCAGTCTGAGCCAAAATCAATATCATTTGCTTTCAGAGTGCATAATTAATTGAAAAAGCACATTCTGTATTTGTTGTTATTAGTGTTATTGATACACACATACTCTCCAGGATGTCTTGCTTAGTGTACAATATGCATAGAAGTAGGATCTTGTGACCTGAAAAGAATGACAACAGTTCCTCAGATACACAAATCCATCTCTCCCGTGAATCCTATTTTGGCTTTTGAGTAAGTATATGACCTAAATTTATACCACCAGAGTGGTGACTTTTGTTCAGAAAGTGAATTTTGGACACTGGAACCAGACAGCCTGTGTTACAAATAAAAGGTGGAGGTAAAGGGGGAGGCAGTTGGCCTGTAGCACACACCAGCAAGAACTTTACACATTATTTATTTTTGGAAGTCTAAGACAGTAGGGTCTTGAGATGATGGATCAAATGACAGGGCAATTATTTGCCTGAAGTGTTTACAAAGAATCTGAAAGCACCACTTTCCTACAAAAGAGCAGGGACAAGGCAGGACTAGGGCCAATGGGATGGGGCCCATATGGAGTTTAAACACATGCAAACGAGAACACAAATGCTATAGCTTTGTAATTGTTGGAAGCTTATAGACACTTCATACTGCTGCTGCTTTGATGTAGTATACAATTATTATTATTATACAATCTGAGCACCACAACATTATTTTGCAAGTTCAGAATGCAGATGCAGAAACTGAGATGCACATGATGTGGTTTACCCCAGCTTTCACAGATAGTGACAAAAGCAGGACTAGGAAGAACACAGATCTCTAATTCCCAGTTCCATGTAATTTCCTCACAATTGAGATGCCTCTTCAGATCGAGATGTACAAGATAAACATGAATACGCACTACACGTGTTCTCTCCCTTACACACACACACACACACACACACCCCACACCCATAGTGCTTTATCTTTAGCTATAGTGAAGAATTTATTTCTCACTTTCCTTCTCTTTCTTCCTCTTCAACCATGATCTTTACAAAATAAAGAATATTGTTAAATAATTTGAGTTACATATGTAAACAAAATAACGATCTATAAATGGGATGCTCATTTCCCTAGTACTGAAAAACTGCACTAAAATAACTAAATTCTGAATATCATAGAAAAAATTTAGATTGGGGGAAAAACTTTCTAAGCTTAAAATAATTGAGGGAGGACATTCAACTTGAGTTGATGATGCCAGCTGCAAGACACAGACAGAGGGAAAGGGCAGGCTGAGCAAGCAGATTGACCATATAACTACATAGAACAATTGCCATCCAAGCAACTAATGTAGACACCTTCCCACAAAGCATTTAACTAAATGCCCACAAAAGTAACTCAGACCGAGGTTCAGCTGGTCTTTGGTCCACCACAGGCATAGCACTTGCATCCTCCTTTGTTTCCTGGAATGTGAAGATGGCTACCCAGACAGTGCTGGAAGTTGTGCTAAAATGTTCCTCCAAGATACTTGTAAACGAACACTTTATTAATATAAGGAATAACAAAAAACTGATATCAGTGACCATTTCACTTTCATGCAGCCAAAACAGAGAGATCTGGTGCCAGAATAGGAGATCCTCCAGGAAGCACTAGAACTTTGGCAGAGTTTAGAACGGTACCTGGATGAGAGCATGTCCAGGAAGAGTAAGTCAGTCCACCTCTGACCTGTAGGAGGCCTGGCCAGGGGAACAATTGGAAGGAGAGGCCTTCTCATGTTCCTAAAAGGATTGTATAAGAGCCATGTCATGAGAACCCTGCCTAGGGATGCGTATCACTCTGTGGTGGTGAAGCGCTAGCTCTCTGAATGAGCTGCAGAAGAAGTGGTGTCTGAGGTTGTAGACTTCCTGGGAGAGGGGACCTAGAGCATGGAGCTATAGGGTGTGGAATAATTGGGGTATAGGTGAGAGTTGATAGGTTGGCAATGGGGAGTTATAAGACAAACACTAAGGCCATGGAAATGGGAGAGATGCCCTTGTCCTGCCGTGCTGAGCACGAAGCCACCAGACAGCCAGCTAGATGCTTATATGTTGAAATAGAAGAAAACCTGAATGTGAACTAGATGAACATTATTAACAGATTAACTAAATGTTTAAACTAATGACTAAAGCCCATACATCTTCATACATCAGAGACTTTTACTGAGAAGTCTCCTCGAGAAGAAAGCAGCCTGATTGATTATGGTAGGACATACTAAAATAGACTGTCAATTTAATTGCCACCAGTTTGTGTCCAGTGTCTTCCAATCAGCTTTTGATATTGTGTTTAATGAAACTTTTGTTTTTTCTTTGATTTGAATATATATATATTATATATATAATTTATATATACTATATATTAAATATATATAATTACTATTATTATATATATATAATATATATATATATATACATTGGACTTAGACTTCTCTTTGAACATGAGTGTGATAGTGACATGCCTTCCTTAACCTATCAGGTGCTCTGACGTTCTAGCATTTCCTTTATTTATTTCTGTGCCTCAACAAAGAGATCAGAAAGAGTCACTTAGGGGCTGGGCGCGGTGGCTCACGCCTGTAATCCTAGCACTCTAGGAGGCCGAGGCAGGCCAATTGCTCGAGGTCAGGAGTTCGAAACCAGCCTGAGCAAGAGCGAGACCCCGTCTCTACTATAAATGGAAATAAATTAATTGGCCAACTAATATATGTAGAAAAAAAATTAGCCAGGCATGGTGGCTCATGCCTGCAGTCCCAGCTACTTGGGAGGCTGAGGCAGGAGGATTGGTTGAGCCCAGGAGTTTGAGGTTGCTGTGAGCTAGGCTGACGCCATGGCACTCACTCTAGCCTGAGCAACAAAGTGAGACTCTGTCTCAAAAAAAAAAGAAACAAGAAACAAGAAACAGTCATTAGGGTACAATCTAAAATATGTTTCCGTATTGAGGTGTTTGTTTTTATTTTATTAATTTGTAGTAGCATGTAATAAATTAAGGATCCTCATTCTCCCTATTTCCTAAGTTTCTGGAGATAGGGTTCTACGTTCTAATGTGGCATCTTAGTTTTTAGACAATCCAGAGTTTGTTTTGTTGTTTTAAAAAGGGCATTCTGCCACACTGATGATTTAGTTTTGACCATTGAGCACTTAGAGAACTAACTCACTACGGGAGCACAGAGAAACATGTCCAGGTTACAGGTGGTACCCGCTCTAAGCTTCTTGAAGTGAGGATCATGGAAGGGGACATCACATAGATTATAAACCATGTGCTGGCTTCCACCCTGGAATAAGATTGATAAACTTTCTCTTGGGCTTTGTATCCAGAGGGTCACCACTGGGTCTGTTTACACCTGCAATAATGGCAGAGAAGTGATTTGTTTTGGCAGGTAATTCAGGAAGGAGAGGGAAGAGAGAATGGTGGGTGCTAACTGCTGAGTTTACTATACTGAAATGCCATTACCCTCATGTTCAAATCTAAACTGTCTTCAGTCCAGTCTTGGGTTCCTGCACTCATAGTTGCTTCACTTGTCCCATTTTTTTCTTATTTATACAGATGGAATAATTAGGTTCACCACATTTTGTTGGAATTTTATGTTTCAGATGTATTTTAGAATAAAAACATTCTCAACACTCTCCCCAAAATAATAAATTATAAAAGATATTGCAAAAGAATAGAACTGACTAAATATCTGTCAAAAGTAGTAAAGTATAAAAGATAAATTAATAAACTGAGGAAATATTTATAATAAACATAGAAGATAAATATCAATTATCCTTAATTCATTGTAGTTTTGAATTAAATAACATTAGTCATAATTTTAAAAAGCATGAACAGAACCTTCCCCCCCCCGGGAAGTAATTTAATATTTATTATATTATGGTTGAGTTGGTCCTTCATCTCTATCCTTTCTGTATATTTTGAATTTTCAAAAATAGGCATAGATTGCCTTTATGGTCTGAAAAGAATAATTATATTTTACAGGAATTCTTAATGAGAGAGCATGAGATATGGGAATAAACCGGAACCGATTGTGCATCTTTTTCTGCCCCTTCCTGTTGCTTTGTATCTACCACTTCTTATCTTGAAAGTGAAAGTGGAAGAAGGGTAGCAGAAAAAATGAAAATAGATAAAACAGATAAACAGAAAAGGGCGAAATGCTAAAAAGAAGCAGAGACTAGTTGGCATTTAAAAAGAACATAGAAATAAAAGGAGGGAGGAGGGAAAGGAGTGAGAGCTGTTAAATCATGGCTCCCTTCTGAACACGAGGCTCCATAGGAAGCCGCGCACAGGCTCACACGTATGCACACATACAAAAGCACACATGTGAGCATGCACACACACTCAGGAATTTGCCTTAATCATGAGATCATTGGAAAGCAAAGGAGGTGACAAAAAGTTTTTTAAAGGCATAAAAAATCCCACCTTACAATTTTGCTGATGGGAGTCTCTTCTCTACTTATAAGTATGTTCCTTTCAGCTCCACCCAGCTGCTAGAGAGAACTTGTTTTTTTTAAAAAAAAAAAAAGCCAGAATGCACTGCCTTGTCACTTAAGTGTTCTACTGGCTTCTGATGTCAGGCAGAGTGAAAGTGAGAGTCTTAATTCCTGCAGCTAGCCCACAGGACCTGCTTGTACCCAGGATTACTCCTTCACCTCTCTCTGATCCCATCTCCTCTTGCTCTCTCTTTCTTGTGCACTGCTCTGGTCACACTGGCCTCCTAATTGCTCCTGGGCACACACTGGCACATTGTTGCACTGGAACCTTCCCTCTCCCATTTCTCTCCTTCTGTAATAGTCTCTGTTGTGACACACTCCCATGCCCCCTTGAGGTCATTGCATAAAACACCTATCCTCAGTGATGCTTCCCTGGCCTCTCAGCCCCCTACCTCAACACGTTGGAACACACACTAACCTCCTTCTTCTTTGC